GATTAAATAGGGTCGGAAAAACAACTATCGTGCAGCATAATTCTATAATACATTGAGTGACCGATCTCATGAAATGTTGGCTGAAATTCTGAAATGCGTCTTCGGTTAGGAAGAGTTACCTAGGCGCGGTTGTAATACTGATTATCTTGCGGCATAATCTTATGATATTTCAGGCTCGGCAGGATATCAGCTTTGAAATACACTTCTTAATCTCCTGTTGAAACCGTACTCGGCAAAAAATGACTACTTAAGTGGCGTGCAATTTTGCCTTTGATTTTCGATGGCCTTGCACATTGAAATATGTGTTATAGAAACCATATACAAAAATATACTTTCTCTTAGTCATTTGATAGAGAATTACGTCTTCTTTATATTTTATACTCGAAGAAGGAGTATAATAAGGTTTTGAAATACTTTTCTAATTGCCAAATAATTTGGAGCCTGATCATTTGATGCACTAGCGCTCAGCGATTTCAGTCTACAAGGTGCATGCGTTCCGCGTATAGAAAATCACATATTTTTCTAGGCCTTTATAAATACATCCTACAGAGTCCATTAAATTTTTCAATGGATGCGGACTATGCTGTACATTTCATGAGGAGCTGTGGTAAACGGACAGGTACGATGCTATGTGAATGAACATTGCGCGGTCTTAAAAAATCTCATAATTAGAAACTTCTTTAAAACTTAATCATACCCCTTCTTCGAGCATAAAATATAAAAAAGACGTAATTCTCTATCAAATGACTAAGAGAAAGTATATTTTTGTATATGGTTTCTATAACACATATTTCATTGTGCAAGGCCATCGAAAATCAAAGGCAAAATTGCACGCCACTTAAGTAGTCATTTTTTGCCGAGTACGGTTTCAACAGGAGATTAAGAAGTGTATTTCAAAGCTGATATCCTGCCGAGCCTGAAATATCATAAGATTATGCCGCAAGATAATCAGTATTACAACCGCGCCTAGGTAACTCTTCCTAACCGAAGACGCATTTCAGAATTTCAGCCAACATTTCATGAGATCGGTCACTCAATGTATTATAGAATTATGCTGCACGATAGTTGTTTTTCCGACCCTATTTAATCAATCTTTTCGAAACGAAAACGAAATTCGGAATTTTGGTTGGCATTTCATGAGCTAGCCCACTTACTGTAATATGACGCTGGTACTTCGGCCAACAAGTGATCTGCAGCTTGACGAAACTAGAGTAAGGGGAACAGTGACTGTAACTCTATCTGTGGCCGTCCCATGGCTGACTGAATCCCATCAG